ATATACAACATATATATAAAATATCCACAAGCACGCACCCACGAGTTTAATATAGAAAATCCTCCCCAAAGTAGTAAAATACTCGCATTGGTTCTCGAATTTCAGTTCAAAACTCTCTGTCTCAATCTTAATGTAGTCACCACCTAATTTAAAATAACATGTAACGATCAATTCCTATTCCTAGCTTCATAATTTTGTGATTCTACNCATCCACAAGCACGCACCCACGAGTTTAATGTAGAAAATCCTCCCAAAAGTAGTAAAATACTCGCATTGGTTCTCGAATTTCAGTTCAAATCTCTCTGTCTCAATCTTAATGTAGTCACCACCTAATCTAAAATAACATGTAACGATCAATTCCTATTCCTAGCTTCATAATTTTGTGATTCTACATTTAATTTTTGTACTTCCTACCCATTGACATATATTTTGTATATCACTTACATAGAAATAATATTTTTAATATGCGATAATAGGATATGAAAGTAATTTGAGCAATTTAGAAAGAGTTTCAAATTTTTGGGGTCAAATCATAATTTTTGAACCTTTTGGGGTTAAAGTGTAATTTCTTTAAAAAAATGTATTTTCTATTTTTTGGACTGCCATAAATTTTTTAGAACAGTATTTAAGGCTCTAGAGACCAATTTCTAATGATATAACCTAGATGTGAATTGTTATGGCCAAACCATAANATTTTTAATATGCGATAATAGGATATGAAAGTAATTTGAGCAATTTAGAAAGAGTTTCAAATTTTTGGGGTCAAATCATAATGTTTGAACCTTTTGGGGTTAAAGTGTAATTTCTTTAAAAAAAATGTATTTTCTATTTTTTGGACTGCCATAAATTTTTTAGAACAGTATTTAAGGCTTTAGAGACCAATTTCTAATGATATAACCTAGATGTGAATTGTTATGGCCAAACCATAATTTTTGGAAACAAAATTGAAACATTTTAGGGTCGTTTTAAAATTTCAAAAAAATTTCAAGGCTCGGGACTGTTTTGAAATGACAAAATTTGTTTCAAACCCAATGGAGTCAATTCTATAAATGACCAAGTTAAATGGTGAATTGGTGATCACAATTATGAGTAAAAGAGTATTATGAGACCAAAGGAGAAGTTTCCATTATTTTAGAAATTCCATCTTATTCAACCTACGAAAGTTATATAACTTTCTTTCCTTTTCCTTCTTTGTTTTTCTTTTTCTTTTTAACATGTTGATTAAATTCCCTCAACTCTCAAACAACTATTATATATACACATTAATATTATAAACCCTACACCATCTAATTGAATGAAATATAAAATTCATAAGAGAAGTAATCAATCCACACCTTTAATGGATTCAACTCCTTTTCATGTCTCTCTCTCTCTCTGTGCCAACTTTGCATGTTGTATTCTCCTCAACTCAATGTTTTTGTCTAACGATATAATGAATATGAGGCAACTTAAGGCGGCCGTTCAATTGCATATAGGGTGTANCTAATTGAATGAAATATAAAATTCATTAGAGAAGTAATCAATCCACACCTTTAATGGATTCAACTCCTTTTCATGTCTCCCTTCTTCTCTCTCTCTCTCTCTTTCTATGCCACCTTTGCATGTTGTATTCTCCTCAACTCAATGTTTTTGTCTAACGATATAATGAATATGAGGCAACTTAAGGCGGCCGTTCAATTGCATATAGGGTGTAGTGGTCAATTTTTCTTAATAACACTCAAGTCCCTCTAGTTTTCTAGAGTTATAACTTCAGTAATAAGGAATTAGTGTACAACCAATTCTGATATTCTAAAACTCTATCCAATTAAACATCAATAATTATCTGGTATCCCCCTACACAAAAAGGCTAATATCTCCATTGNTTAGAATTATAACTTTAGTAATAAGGAATTAGTGTACAACCAATTCTGATATTCTAAAACTCTATCCAATTAAACATCAATAATTATCTGGTATCCCCCTACACAAAAAGGCTAATATCTCCATTGATTTCCAGATCACACCCTTAGGTCTATAACGACAGACCTCAAACTAAATAAAAATCTAAAACTTCTCAAGAAGTTTGGGTATTACAACACACGTCCGAATATGATGGACAGAGAGGCCAAAATGACATGGTGTGTCCGAACGATAAGAAAGACGAGTTNGATCACACCCTTAGGTCTATAACGACAGACCTCAAACTAAATAAAAGTCTAAAACTTCTCAAGAAGTTTGGGTATTACAACACTCGTCCGAATGTGATGGACAGAGAGGCCAAAATGACATGGTGTGTCCGAACGATAAGAAAGACGAGTTCAGACACGATGATGAAGTTCAATCATTAACCTTAGAATTTGATGTTAATTAGGTTTCTTATTCCTAAAAGCCAACATAGGAAGTATAGGCTTTGCTTTGTATTGATTCCTTTACTAGTTTTTTTCTTTCTAGTTTTTATTGTAATTTTTTTATGGATTGCTAAATTTCTAACTAATGTTAGGAGAGATACTTTCAATAATACACGATATTTGTTCTTGATTCAATATTTTTAATGCATAATTTATTCCTTTAATTTAATTATTATCTTTTAGTAAAAATTTTGTTCTGTATAATTTCTTGATTTTGTATGCCACATACATCGAATACTTAAGATTTCCTACAAGTCAAATAACTGGTTATTTTATGCATAAATTAATTAATTAGAATTTTTATATGATTTATTATTTGCAATAAAAAGGGTCTACCTCTTGAAAAACTTGATTTATTGTAAATTCCGGACACGGTGAATGCTTGTGATTTACAAGTAAATTCCTATATTTATTCAGATAATCCATTAATTATACTTTCGATGTTTTTAATATTATCACTACTATATATTTTGATTGAGATCACTCATCAGCTGATTCTCAATTGAATTAAAAAACTAGGTCACTAATAATTACTGTATAGAATTGAAAGGGTATTCCAATACTTTAGTATTTCAAATTACTATTTTTACTCAATCAATTTTTGTTCTTCAGAACATCAATTATTTCAAGATCTTCAAAGTAATTTTCTTTTATTTCTTCTTATGTTCTAAGTCTTTCTCAATTCCTCGAGGTACAACCTCGAACTTTTGAATATAATATTATTTCACAATAACTTACACTTGGGTGAACAATCTATAAGTTGTAACAACTTTTTGGTGTCGTTGCCAGGGATTTGATGGAAGACAAGGAGCGCACCGCCATATCTATTGATGTTTGTTTGATTTGTGATTCTTCGAAGACCCGATAACTTTATTCCACTTCTAATTTTCTGTTATTTAATTTATTGTTCTTTGTTTCTACCCTTCTATTTTATTTCTTGTATGAGTTATTAGGATCGTGGTTGAAATGGACGTTTAATTCAAGGGGATTTAGACAAACTTTTTGGTGATTTATTTAATTCTTCCATATAATCTCACACACCAAACATGATAACTAATTATGATGTTAGGAGTAACCAAAATGACATTCAAGGTAATAATTTGCATGCTAATCAGTGTAAAATTTTGCGTGGGTATTTGTAACCTACACCACACTACACTATTAAGTATTATTTTTTCTCTGCAGGCTTTAAACCTTGGATGATAGCATTATTCCCTAAATTTCATGGCCTAAACTCTGAAAATTCTTATCTACATATTAGAGACTTTGAGAAAGCATGTGATATTTTCATGATCCAATTGTGACTAAAAACACAGTCAGGTTGAAACTTTTTCACTTCTCAGTGAAAGAAAAAGCTAAGACTTAGACTAAATTCATTAAGACCAATATCCATTGACACCGGACAACAGATGCAAATAGAACGCAGAGCTGGAGAATGACTAGTTAGTTAGTTAGCTTACTATTTGTTGAGCTGTAAGCATTGATTAGTTTGTTAGGAAGGTAAGTTAGTTTAATAGAAGATCTCACAAGTGTATACATAAATACTTCTATTGTAAAATTCATTCATTCAATGAGAATAATACATCACATGATCTAAGCACTCTGTTCTCTCTCGTCTTCTCTCTTTCTCTCTCATCATCTTCGTCTTCAAACTCTGCATCGTCTTACAACCAATTAACAAAGTGAAATTTGGATTGAACCAATGGAAAAGATTCGTAGACACCACTTAATATTGAGATACCCTAGCTGACAATCTAATAAACTACAACAACACTACAAACTAGATAATGAAGTTCAAAACCTAGATGATTACTTCACAATTTGAAGGGATGAGCTAGACGGTTCCGACTAAAATCTCTGGAATAAAATTTCATACTTGACACATGACACGGCTATGAAATCAACCCAAAGATAAGTGCTTCACGAAAAATAAGTGAACACTTTGTTTTGTTTTTCTTCAAACTCCCAATCCGCTCTCGGTCGTTGTTACTAATGGGGTCTCGATTGATTTCCCTTCCTTTAGCCATTCCGATATTTCAGTTCGCCAAGTTAGAAAAACCCAAGGAGTGCAAACTAGCCACGGAGCTTGGATACTGTTTCCCAATGAGAAATCCATGGTTCACAAACAGTATCTCCCCTTTCGCCTCTGAAAGCTTCCTTCTTTCCACAGCATAAATTATTGATGATGTTGTTCAAAGTGTATATTGCAAAAAATCATTTAGGTCATTCCACTAATTATCAGCACGAGAATTAGATAATATTGCTCAGAGATCTAAAATTTACATGATTCATGTATGAAGCACTTTACAAATCAAAGAGCTCCTATAAGAAACGTATAGACTTATCAAGAATACTACAACAAATCCCAAGCTCAAAGATAGGACTCATTATTAATTTATTAGGTTTTGGTGGAAAAACATAAGAATTATAATCCAGTTAGGTCACCAAACCAAGATTACATTTGTAAACACAAGCTTTTCATCAGCAACAAGACTAATGCAATTTCCTTTCCTACCACAAATTCTAACCGCAACTATGAACAAAGGAAAACAAAATCAAAAATAATTCTTGGTACATACAGAGAAATGAATCCTCCCCGCACTTCATTCACCGCTATGGTCTGGCAAAAACACCCCATACCTTACCGCGACCAAGACTATCCAAGAGCTTCTTAGCACCCTCAACATTGATGTCAACCAGTTTCTGCAAGTACACACAAGCACCCGACGCCACCATTTGTTTACGACATTTCTTCGAATGCACAAGCGATGCCAATATTGAAACATAGTATTTCTTATCCCAACTCTGAATCAAAGGGTCTAATAACAGAACTGCACTGACAATCCCCCTCTCTTCCTTCCTAAAAATCCTTCTATTCCCGGCATAAACCATAAGGTTTGACAATGCCTTAGCAGCCACTTCTTTCTCTTCAACAGCCTTACCATCCAACATTCTAACCAAGGGAGGAATACACCCAATTTCACCCAACTCTTTTCGGGTTTTGGTATTAAACCCCAAATCATAAACAGCTTTAGCAGCCCCAATTCTCACACCCAAAACCCCACAATTTAAAACCCCAAAGACCCTACTCAAAAACCCATTCAAAACAAGAACTTCAGCAATCAATTGACACTCAGCTAAATTACTTAACATTTGAACAGCCACCTCCAAACTCTTCACAATTGCTGCTGAGTCCCAAAAATTCTTCAATCTCTCAATCCCACCCTCCCTAGCAACCAAAATCTTCAAATTCACATCCCCTGAAACCAAATTACACAAACACCCAATCGCATTCTCTTGCGCCAATACAGTCCCTGTACCCGAAAGCCCCAAAAGTATCAAAATCGCGTTTTCTTCAATAAAATTCTCTCTAATTTCTTCAACAACAGCTAAATTCCTCAAAACCCCAGCTGCAATTGCTTGTGAACTAGGCGTTCCGGATTGGCAGATCTCTAATAGAGATGAAATTCCACCTCTGGAACCAATTGCCCTAGCGTTTTCCTTTGAATGGCTTAGAACTTGGAGGGCAATACAAGATTTTTCTTCCGCAAATACACTTCCAGATTCTAATACTCGAAGGAGATTGTTGAGAAGCGTTAAACCCTCGGCGATTAAAACGTGTTTGCTCGAATCGACCGTTGAAACCCTAGCAATGGCTGTGACGGTCTTTTCCTTTATCTCCAAGGAAGAGCTCGAATCCAGTAAGCGAACAAGCACCGGAACGACTCCCTGAGCCACAGCAATCAAAACATTTTTATCATCTTCCTGGAGTAACCCTAATAGCGAGTCTAAAACCGAGTTCTTTGACTCGGTAGTACCGATTTGCAGCCGAGTTAATAAATTCCTCGACTCGGCACGTACGGACTCCCTATTGGAAGTGGATACACTACTAAAAACGACGACGTTTTCTTGGAGGATGTTGCTTCTGATGATGACTTCGAAGTCGTGAATGTGGTTGTCGAGCTTGGCGGAAACGGAGTCCACGTCGTTTTGGGTCTTGAGCTTTCCATTTGTGGGAGAAGGGCTGTGACAGGTTTGGGAAAGAGAGACAGCGTCGGAGAGGGTGTCGGAGAGGGAAGCGAGGAGGTCAAGAGAGAGAGGGTTGGTGGCGGTGTAGTCGGATAGATCGGAAAGAAGGGTTTGGAGAGAGATGAGTTTGGTTTTGATGAGTGACCATTTCCCTTTGAAGGTTTGTGTCTGTGGGATTGAATCAAGGAGGGATTGAAGAAGGTGGGTGTTTGTGTGGAGGGTTTGCTGATTGCTTTCTGGGTCTTTCATGGCGGGCTTACAGAGTTACAGGTTAGAGAGAGAGAGAGAGAGAGAGAGATGGATGGAAGCTTGTGATGATGAGTGGGCAATGTAGGGTAACAACGAAATGTGAATATACCAAGACGAAGAAATAATGTAAGTGGGCGGTGGGAAGCTTATATTCACATCTAAAGACAGTGCTTTCACGCGTCAACTAAAAGTTTAATATTGTGAGAAAACAATAATGAAAATCTAAACAATGACAATGACACCCTCTATAGTTTATCATATTTGCTTATGAATGCTCAACGATATGAAGATTAATAGATTCTACTAATGTAATCCGTTGTATAGGCTAAAGTCTTGCACAGTTAGAAGCAATGTTATTAGAACTGAATTGAACCGACAGATCTAATCGATAAATAAGGCCCTTAATTGTCAGTTTGCCAATTTAGATCGTCTATGTAACAAAAATTGTTTTTAAATCAAAAAATCAGTCAATTTGAAAGAAAATTGATGAGCCGAAAGGGTTTATAAAACTAGGCGATTTGAATTTTAAAATATATATTAAAAAAACTTATTTTGAACAATTTTGCCCTAAATATTATCTTTCTTCTCTAATCTCCAATCAAACGCACCTTTCTTCTCTACTCAGTCGATCAACTCTACTCAGCCACTCGAAAGGACAACAAACTTGGCACAATCNATTTTGAACAATTTTGCCCTAAATATTATCTTTCTTCTCTAATCTCCAATCAAACGCACCTTTCTTCTTTACTCAGTCGATCAACTCTACTCAGCCACTCGAAAGGACAACAAACTTGGCACAATCTCCGGTCAAACAAACTTGAATAGACTGTCCCTCGATCACAATGCCACTTGAATCGATTTCCTTCTCCACTCAATTGTAAGCATGCATGTATATTGATTAATAATATAAATACTCTCTCTCTCACACACACACAACAATGATGATGTGACCGATTAATGGCCATTGAGTAATAAGGATGGTGGATGCTCTTAAGTTTTGGCCTTATTTNCACAACAATGATGATGTGATTGATTAATGGCCATTGAGTAATAAGGATGGTGGATGCTCTTAAGTTTTGGCCTTATTTACTCTCTTCCCCTTATAGTTTAAAATTTTTGTAATTTATTCCACAGAATGTTTTTGTGAAAAATAGAATGAATAAATTAGAGTTAACATGTTTCATAGTTTTTTTTTGGTAAATTATTATGTTTTATAATTTTTTTTATTATACAACTAGTCTCATCAATTGACCCAACAATTAAACTATTGATCTGATTTTTTTTGTTGGTTTGATGTCTAGTTCGATTCTAATAATTATGGNTGGTAAATTATTATGTTTTATAATTTTTTTTATTATACAACTAGTCTCATCAATTGACCCAACAATTAAGCTATTGATCTGATTTTTTTTGTTGGTTTGATGTCTAGTTCGATTCTAATAATTATGGTTCGAACCCAATTGTAAATTTATTAGTATTGTTTTGAGATTAAGTTGATTTTGTAGTAAAAAGTAAATTAAAGTGTAGAGGGTGCGTGTAGTAAACGCGCTGTTGGAGGAACTAAGAGTGGAGTGAGAATTGGAAGGCGAGCCGAAAGGAGGTGAGAGTCCCAGAGAGGGAGAGGGTGCTGATTTAAGAAGAGTATAGTTTGGGCCCAAACTTTCCGCCAATAATCATAGCAGACTTTATGAGGCTACTGACAGATAGACAATGAAAGAAGATTTCCAGGTTTCTTCGTCGTGCACACCGAGTCATCGGAGTTGTCTACGGTACGGAAATTTTTTTGCTATCTTGTCTATATTTATTATTTTTATTGATATTTTTTCACTATTACAATTTTTTTTAAATTCTTACAGTACGGAATAAAAGTGATAAAAAAATAATTAATAATTAATACTGTTAACACAATAATAATAAAAATATATTTTTTGTACAAAAAATAAAAAAGGTAATTATTATAAAAAAATAAAAATACTCATAAAAATAATAATTTTTTTATTATTTTAAAACAAAATTGAATCTTTGCATTCAATTTTAATCAACCTTGCTATGACACTCTAATTCTTTTTTTCCCAAATTTTACTTTTTAAATGAACTTATATCATCACCATCAACAAATAAGATAAGAAGCGCAAAAAAATTATTGAATGATTAAGATTTTAATTATATTATTTAAAAATTTAAAATTGGATTGAAAATTCCGTAACGAGTAAATATTGAACGTAACAATTACGCCACCAAATGTTATTATATGATATAATCATTCAATGATAAATAAATTAACAAATTGACAGTTAAATCTCTTTTTTTTTATGTGCAGCGGTTGTTATATTACATGAAAAGTTAGTTATTGAATGTGTGAGTCCTATTTTACCTAATTATAGAATTATTATTGAGCAATAATATCACATGATGATACTAAAGTGATATAACCGGTCAATATTTATTCAAAAAAAATGAGGAATTGATGGAGCCTAGTGAAATGTAAATTCCATCTATTACATTTGTTCTGAATTTTAATCAATAAAAAATCATCAATCGTTTATAAATGAGGAATTCATATATAAATAATAGGGGCGTATCTGGTTATCTTTTCGAAAATAGTTTTTACTTTCAAAATTTCAAAAACATTCAAAAATCAGTTTGTTTAACATTATTGTTCTCAAATTTTTGGAAAAAAAAATGAGATTTAGAGCAAAGAAATATAAAACAATTGTAACTTGATTTCAGAGATTTTTTTGAAAATGTTGGAAACACGGAAAATAGTTTTAGAGTTTTTATGAGGTCTACCCTTTGAGTCCCCTTAATAGCAAAACTCTTCATTCTTTTTGTTTTTTTCCTTCCTCTCTGTCTCCACCGTCTCCATCTTCTCACTCTCTCTCTCTCTCTCACTCTCTGCAACGAAGGTGGAGCACCGAAGCACAGATCTGAAGCAACAAAGTCGGATCTGCTTCAGATCTGTGTTATTGTGTGACTGTGTGTGTGTGTGTTGTGTGTAACTAAGTGTGTGTGTGTGTGTATTGTGTGATGGTGTGAGTGTTTTTTGGTGTTATTTGTTTTTTTTTTTTTTAATTATTGGTGTTTTTATATTTTTGCTATTAAATATGTTTGGTTTTATTTTAGATGAAGGTCATTGATGAATTTTTTTATATTGATTTTATTTTGATGAAGATTATTGAATATGTTTAGTTATTTTTAATTTTGGTTTATTGAATTTTTTTTTTTAAATTGTCAATCTAAAAATAAATTTTTAATATTTTTTTATTAATTTTTAAATTACTGTTCAAACATATATTTAGTTTGTCTAAACAAGTTTTACTATTTTCTGTATTGTAAAATTGTTTTTGAAATCATCTAACCAAATAAATTTTTTATCTCAAAAAATATGAAAATCACTTTCTTAAATTTTTTCTCAAAAATTATTTTTAAATACTATTTTTTAAAACGCAAACTAAACAGGACCCAGATCTGACGCGAATATATGATAGGTAATCACCTATTAAACGAAATTGTGTGAAACAATAACATTGACAGACTAGAAAGGTTTAATGAGGGTTTATGCTTCGAATGACTAAAAGGGAAGAATTGAGGAATCAATTAATTATCAAATACAATAAAAAATATATTTATCTATTTATAGATTTATTGGCTGGACTATAGATGTGAACTAATCGAATGTTATGTAAGAAGTGGTGCAACTTAGGTGGGTCAGCGCGAATTTAACCCGAGCTCAACTAGAAAAAAATAGGACTTAAGTTAGAATTTTTAATACTTGGATTGAGCTTAGGCAAAAACTCTAACCTTAATTGAATTTGAGCATGCTTCGAGTTGTCGGGTTCAACTCAAATATTAAAATCGGGTTGAACCCGAATATACATAAATATATAAATATATTTAATTAGCGTTAATATTTATCTTCAGTCCAGACTTTCACTTCACTTTTAAGTCTTCAGCCCTGCACCTCCATCATTCTCAGATCCCTCTCTCTCTTAGTCTCCCTCTCTCACTCCCTCTCTTTTCATCTGCTCCTCGCCCTTCATCTCAAATCACTTGAAAAAATTAAATCTACACTTCAAAAAATCAACTCGATTTTTAACCCAAAATTAGTCCGAAATTAAGTTATCCGAATTTAACTCGAGTCCGCCCGAATTAAACTTGAGTAGTACTTGGATTGAGATAAGGTTAGAGTTAGGATTGAAGATTATATATCTAGGGTTGACCTCTCAACCCGCCCACGCGAGTTGCATCCCAATATGTAAGAGATGATGGCTTGGATGGATCATATTTTTCACGTAATCTATCGATCAAACCAATGATATGAATTGTTTATTTAAGGTGTTTTAAAATCACGTTTTCTTATAGACGAAAATATTGGGCTTAAACACGCTTTAAAAAATTGAGGTAGTTTAATATAGTAAAACAATATACATTTTCTAAAAATACAATATATGTATAATTAGACTATATTTAATTTTATTTTTCTTCTTGATAAATAAATCATTCATTATATAAGGATTGCACTTACATAGATTAGACATTGCTTAAATTTACATTAAATAATTGTCAAAAAACAAAAGAATGTATTAGGTCGTCAAATCTAAACTACTGTTATTATACCTTTCATAATCGGGAAGCTCTATTTTACTATATAAGGGTGTAAAATAAGGTCCCTATACGATTACTCTTTTGAGAAATTAACAATTCAATTGTCAAGGGTTTCTAAATAAGGTCCCCTTCCATATTAGGGACCTAAAGCTCCTTATAGCATTGCTCTTTAGAAAAATAAGGTCCCTATAACAATTTAATTTCTCTAAAGAGCAAGGTCTTACCTTCTTAAGGTCAAGGGGTTCAATTCTCCTCCCTCTCCCCATTCCTCCTCAAAAAAAAGTCTTAAAAAAATAAAAATAAATTATGTGGTTTCAATGTAACAATTGAATTAGTTGTGAATTCCAATATTAGATGGAGCCCACTACCAATTTAATTGTTATATATCATTAGGT